ATACTTTATCATTTTGGAATATCCTTTTGTAGTGGAGGGGACTAAAGTATTATTAACTGTCAAAGTAAAATGTTTTTAAATGCAAAGTTTATTTCATTTGCAATAATAGAACATGTTAACACAAATCTTATGAAATGTTCCGTATTGATATTAAGCTATTTCTAAATGTCTGTGCTCTCACCAACTGAAAATTATTTATCGATACATTATTACATAGTTGACTCATTGATAGATATTTGGAGGCAAAATGCCTTATGAAAATCTTTTACGCACTAACCCAATAACAATTTAATTGGAAACCAGTTTCGTTTATCCTCTTCACTCCACTTACAAAACTACAGATAAACATTTGATAAACATTTTGAATAATATGGCGTATAACACTAAGATGCGCGCGCTTAAGAAATAAGATAACTAAAATTTAGCGCGAGTAAGGTTGATATAGTTCCATTCATTCTTAAGCCTGGTTCACACGAGCGCAAACGCAAGAAAACTACGTGTGAACTACAGTAACACAAACGCAAACGCAAACGCAAGGAATGGAAAATTTTCCATTTTCTTGTGTTTGTGTTTGCGTTTGCGTTTTTAACGTGTGAACCGGAGAAAACGCAAACGCAAGCACAAACGCAAGACGTGGTTCACACGAGCAACGCAAACGCAAGGAAAATACGTGTGAACTATAAACAATCACTACTGCGCATGCGTATCTTAATTTACTTGCATTTGCGTTGTACGTGTGAACATTGCTTGCGTTTGCGTTTGCACTTGTTAAACTGCTACGCTAATCTGCCTTAGCATATGTATATGGCTTTAATTTCTGATCCATACTAATTTGATACATATTTTGATTTTCAGGCTGAACAAGTAACATATGTTGACAGTGACCTAGAGCAGACAGAGAGCAGTGATGATGAACGTGAATCCACTGATTCAGATGTTCATGAATTCTGGGATGATGTCCCTGAATCCTTACTCAACCAAGACATTGAGACAYCAAGCCCCTTGCCAGAGCCCAAACGAAAAAAGAAAAGATTTCACTTGGCCCATTCCTTATTACAATGGTTATTGTACTTTCTACTAATTTGGCAAAGCTATTGTCATCTAAGTGATAATGGTCTTACATGGTTGCTAAGATTTTTTCTTCARTTTTTCAAGGCCTTAAACCTTCATATGTCAAATGAACTCCTAACAGATCTCATTGCTGCATTTCCTTGTTCATTGTATATGGTGCGSCAATATCTGAACTTGGACAGGGATAACTTTACAAAGTTCATTGTTTGTCCAAAATGCACAAAGTGCTACAATTATGATGAATGTCTGACATATGATGTCCATGGTCATCAAGTTGGCAAGCACTGCACCAATATTACCTATTTAAGAGGACGACCCCATCAGTGTGATAGCGCACTTGTAAAGAAGGKCACACTAAAAAACAATAATGTCAAGTTTTTTCCTATACATTATTATTGCTATAATGGGATAATCAATCCTTTGGAAAATTTATTGAAGAAAGCTGGTTTTCCTCAGAAATGTGAAGAATGGAGAGAAAGGGATATTGGTAATTCACTAATGACTGACATCTATGATGGCCAACTGTGGAAAGACTTCAAAACATTCAATGGAAAACCTTTTTTAGATGCCCCAAGAAATTATGGCCTTATGTTAAACTTTGATTTCTTTCAACCAATGAAACGAAGAAAGGACTATTCGGTTGGAGTATTATACCTTGTTCTTTTAAACTTACCAAGATCAGAAAGATTTAAGTGGGAAAATGTCATTGTGGTAGGTATAATTCCATCAATGAAAAATGAACCTAAAACATTGAATGAGTTTTTAAACCCAGCAGTTGAAGAGCTAAATGCATTATGGTCAGGAATCTTCATGAACAATAGCATTACTAGTGTACCACTTAAGTTCCG